TCAGTGAAGCATCTAAGATTTGGGTAGGAAGTACACCCCAGTTCAGCAAAATCTTTGGTAAGGTGTTTGATGCTAATTGTAAATGCCTACTTATGATCTGGTCCAGGGGGCATCGGTGGTCTAGGTGGATTTGGTGGTTTATTCGGCAGCCAGGGGAGTAGTACCCATCTTCGTCACTTCGTTACTTCGCTTAAGAATGAGAATGTTCGTGAGTTTGATGGAAAACCATGAAAGTTCGTCATTTCGACGGATTTCTGAGAAAGCTCGTCACTTCGGCTAAAATTTGGTGAAAGCTCGTCACTTCCGGCTGCGCGCATGGTAAGTGTATTGTTTGAGTGTACTGAATAATTCTTCCTTCCCTACTACCACCATCCCTCCCTTCATTCGATCGCACACCCATTTGCCCAACCGGCCGCCTCATTTCCTCGCTGACGTTGCCCCGTGGAAAACAGTAGAGGACAGAAGGAGCAGATGCCGTAGTCAAAACTTGAAGTATGTCGGCATCGTGGTCTTCGAGTCGTAGTACTGACGAGTCAATGCCGTTTGCAAGCGGCGCTGACAGTCCATACCTCCGTGCTGGATTCATAGTATCATAAATTCTGCCTTGAAATTGGATTCCACCAGTCAGGTTTAGTATTTTCATGCCTCTGAGAAGGACGTGCCGAGCAGGTCACTTTCCAACAGTTTGTCCCTGCCTGCTGCCCTCTGCTGCACCACGCAACAATTGCGCTCGTGCACGGGGCACTGTACTCCCCTGCGTGCAACTTGGAAACCAGAGCTGCGGGAAGTTCTGTTCCGATCATTCATTCACAAGCTGATTTTTTTCTTGCATTGAAGGGAGTATAGTATTATTAACAGATTTCTTTCAGCAAACATGTTGCTCTCTTGAGGGGGACCTGATTTTCCACTGGTACCCTCAGGCCGGGGCAACATACCAAAATCGTTAACACGAGTCCGTAGAATAGCGACTTTAAACTACACACTGTACAGTGGTATCACTTCAATTTAACTCTCTTGAAAAGTCACTCAATCGCAGTGCGTCGCGCAATCTTGTGACCACAAAAAATAGACTTTATGAGGATCCTGTCCTCAAGCCAGCACAGCAAACCCCGGAAGCGGGTACACCAACATCGCTGTATACAAGTCGGCATCGGCACACCTGGCACTTTGAAGCATGGCACACATACCAATGTACGGCACATCAGCAGCAACTACGGAACCTTGCCGCCAACTTGAAGTGCAGCATCTCATGTGCCGTACCTTTGCGCACACTTTGCCGCAACTCCGGGAGCAACGAAACTCGAACCGTAGATACATTCCAAGCATGGCACATTCCACTGTATGCATGGTACATTGGTTTAAGCCCGGCACATTTGCCCAGAATATACTGTGCTTGTGTGCAGAAACACGGCCTAGCGTGCACTATGCCAACGACGGACCGTGCACTCTAGCCACGTGGATGGATGCGGTCATGTGGCGATTGTTGGCACTAAGTAACGAACTTTCACAGTGTACAGACGAAGTGACGAAGTTCTGCTAAATCCAACCGAAGTCACGAACTTTCACGGAAAGTGATCAAACTCACGCACTTTTGCAACGCTAAGCGAAGTAACGAAGTGACGAAGATGGCGCGGACTCCGGCCAGGGTGGGACAGGTCAGGGTTCCACCTTTCCGAGTTGCTTGTGGACGTCGATGAGAATGCTCGGGGGGCTCGCCAACGCCGTTGGCCTACTTTGAAATCAATGATGGCCTCTGCGAACACCTTTACCACCACGGATTCGTAATGGTTGGGGGCCTATTCGAGGTAACTTGTGATGATCTGTTCGAAGTCGGCTTCAAAGTCGGTGACATTGGTACATGCGGATGAGGTTGGAAGCCTTCCTAAGATAATAGGGATACAGCTTCGATTTTATCCGTGTTATTTGACGGGTCAGAGGAGTAGCAATAGGCAGATCTCCGATGCAGATCAATAGGATTGTTCACATTTCTAGGCTGGTCTTGTATTCCATTCCAGTATTCATCGCAGGCGCCAGGGTCTGTTGTGTTTAGAATTGTCTCAGGATGACATCCATCCAGGCCCCAGGGCCCAGGACATCCATTTGGGCGCTCAAATCAGATCTAGAATCGGCCCGGGACTCGGCTGAGGTTATTATAGATATTCGAATAGGATGCCCTCTTATTTTTCCCAGGTGCTTCAACGCAATTTACGAAGACGACAAGAAACTGTACGGCGATCCTGCCAGCACCGAGTTCAAGGCTACCGATATCGACCAAGGGCCAGCCTGGCAAGTTACCCTTGGCAAGCATGCGCGGAGCATTCAAGTCGCACTGCAGGCGCCGTCGGGCCCTCCAACAAAGAAACGCAAGGTAGCCGTGGGGCCTGAGGAGGACAGCGGGTCAGATAATGACAGGCAGTAGCTGGGATTGGAGTGCAATTCAATGTATTCATTTTTACCGCAATGGCATAATTTTATTTCTGGCACGATTCTGGGCTCTTTTTGGGAGATTAAACTGAGTCCGACCCGTCCACGAGACAATATCCCGAAGCGGCTCTCGAATACATTTTTTAGATACGCAAGTGGTACCTTGCCGCTCTCCCCAGGATGCTCAAAAGATCTCAAGCTGGTACTCTGTGGTGCTACCAAGTTGATATATTCCAATTAGATGCCAATGAAACAAACCAATTGTTAGTTGCTATTGGCCTACGTACCACCAAAAAAAAAAAAAAATGAAACATTTTCGTGCTCGAGGTCAAATCAATGTCCCGGCCCACACAGACCACAAATTTATTTGCGGATTAACAGTCAAATTGGTCCCCTATTGGCTCCCCGTGAACATCACCACCGGGATCCAAAGTCCTCGTATCATTTGTGTCCAAAAAACATCAATTTCGTTTTGCGGTGTACTATTTCCCACCGGCTAACCGGCCACCTAAGCAATTTCTCCCCCGGCGCAGAGATACTGTCGAGTGGGTGCCAGGAAATGTGCCCGCAGTTAACGATACATATCTAAAGAGTGAGTTGGAATCTTTACCCGAATTTATTCGCGCCAATTTCGTGCTTGCCGAATATATTTCGGCGATAGCCCCGAAACGGGGATAAACGGCCTAACCGGCCACCCAGCCAAATCACCACTTTGGGCGCCGACCACTCACCCCAGCACATCCCAGGTGGTTAATACACTGTAAATGCATTAGTAAAAAGTGGTACAGCGTATATTTGACATATATTCATGGCATGGGTATCAAACTTTCTAGCTGGGGAAATGGCAGGAATTGGGGTGTCGAAAGAATAGGGTGGCCTCCGAGGCGCAGACCGCAGATATGTCGCAAATTCAACTGTTGGCGTATATATAAGAATTATTTGAACATACCCAAGTACCAAATCCGGTGCCAGATATCCAAAGGCCTTCCAGCAAAATGCATCCCCCTCTGCAAGTGGAATTTGTTGAATCTAAGTAGTAGGTCGCCGTGAGCTGAGATAAGAAACACCTAAAAATCTAAAACCCTGGGGGTATACATAATGGCGTATCTTGAACACGCTGCCCAAATTCCAGATCCGCTGCCGATGCGAGTCGTCCGCTATTGAGGGGGCGCGATCGAGCTACTCCAAATCATGGGTGAGGTCTTCTTACGGCTTCCAGGGGGCCAGATCGATAGATTTTGGCAAGGAAAATAATACCAGGTCATTGGCCCGACCAAAGCGAAGAAAACGGGCCCCGAAACTTGTAAATCGGTGAAGATTTCGTGGAGAAACCGGGGAGACATGAACGTGAATACGGTTCGGAGATAAGGAACGGCTATCGATTCCCCATCATCTTGATCGAAGATCTGCCGTAGCTTTTGATCGCCGCGCCCAATTCCATCCGAATTCAATACAGCATTGTCTTAGGTCCAGTATCATCCCACCGACTGAACTTTCCAGAAATTACTGTCAGGGCTCTTATATGGCCGGTTGGCTCGTCTGGCCGGTTGCCCGGTAGGAAATAGTAGGCATGAAGGCAGCCTTCATGCTCACAAAAGCTTCGACCTGCGCCTGGTACGCCTGCGCGGGGGTGAGGCCCTGGCCGTCGAGCGGGCGGTCCGGCGGGGGCGCGGGGATGCCGGGGTGGTACGCGGGGCGGAGGGACGGCACGCGCAGGGAGGGCGGGCCGCCGCCGCCGTAGTAGCCCGGCGGCTGCTGGGGGTAGCCTTGAGGGTAGGGGTGTTGCTGGGGGTGGTATATGGGCGGCCTGTGGTGGATCTGTTGTTGTTGGTATGGCGGCTGGGGCTGCTGGGGGTATGCTTGGGGGTATGGCGGGGCGGAGCGGGGGGCGGGCCGGCGGCCGAAGATGTCCTCGTAGGCGGCGTTGCGCTCGGGCGGCTGGCGGGGGCCGAGCGGGCGGTCCATCCAGGCAATGGCGGCGGGCAGAGCTACACTTTTCGGCGATCACAATACAAACCGGCACCACAAGACGTCACTTGAACCATCGTATTCGTGTCTCACTTGGTATTTCAGCGCGATTGTTATCATGTCGCCCTTCAACTTATTTTCTTATTCTCGACTTGAACAACGGGCTCTGTCACTGTCTCTGGTCGACACCGTCTTAGACCAATGCTCTTTCGCTGGCTGCAGCTATCTGCTATCCAATCGACCCTGAATATTATGAAACGTCTGTCCGCCACCCATCGGGACGCCCACCTATTTCAGATGCGCTATCATCTCCGTACTGTATGTAAGCCTGTCGACTCGTTTTGTCTTCAAGTCTTCTCTTCTGTTTGTAACCCTCGCCATCCTATGCTACCAGACCGGGCCTATTCATCTTTCAAGCCAGTGGCCACCACACCTGGCCTGTTCAACTTCCAATCACTTTGTCTGGTCTCTCTTTCTTTCTCTCTGACAAGTCGTCGTTATCACCCCTTCTTTTCATCCGCCCCTCTCAGTCTGAGCAATGCAAATTTTCTTTCTCTTCCAACCTTTCCACGACCAGAGCTAGGAAGGCCCTTCGACTTTCTGCCATCGCATTAATGGGGTAGTGGTAACCTGGGTCGTTGCCATATCAAAGTCTAAGTGGAAGATATACTCGACCCGCCGGGGGTTCGATTCCCCCTTAATGCATAGGACTTGAATCGTTTCATTTTTGCTGCTTCGAGTTCCAACATTCCCCTTTAACGCCTCAAACATCATTTTTTAATCCCAAAATATTTATTTCCTCTTCCTGCGCCTTGTGTATTCTCATTACTGTACCACGAGACCGCCAGAACTGTAGTAGCATTAATTGGGTAGTGGTAACCTGGGTCGTTGCCATCCAATGATGCCATGCATATCTCGACCTGCCGGGGGTTCGATAACCCCTTAATGCATGCTATTAGTGCAACAGTTTTTTGTTGCTGACAGTCCCAACATTCTCTTTTGCCGCCTCATGTTCTTTTGGTCCCCAGGTATTTATTTTCTTCTTTCTGTGCCCATCTGTATTTTCATTACTATACCACGAGACCCCCAAAATTGAAGTAGCATTAATGGGGTAGTGGTAACCTGGGTCGTTGCCATATCGTCACTTGAGTTTAACTCGACCCGCCGGGGGTTCGATTCCCCCTTAATGCATTAAAAATATTTGCAGGATTTTTTGCTGCTTCCAGTCCCAACATTCCCCTTGCCGCCTCAGGTGTTGTTTTGATCCCAAGGTCTTTATTTCCTCTTTCTGCGCCGATGTGTATTCTCATTACTGTACCACGAGACCACCACAACTGCAGTAGCATTAATAGGGTAGTGGTAACCTGGGCTGTTGCCATACACTACTAGGTTCAATGCCCGACCCGCTGGGGGTTCAATTCCCCCTTAATGCATTTGCCTCTGTCGCTATCTTTTTTGCTGCTCACAGTTCCCACATTCCCTCCCCACTTCTGCTTTTTCTCTTTTTATCTCAAATTTGGTTCCCTCCACACCCATGTGTATTCTCACTGTGAATTGATGAGCATAGCATTATGGTCCTGGGTTGTTGCTATAATGATAAAGTAAAAGGCCTGCACTCTCAACCCACCAGGGGTTTGATTCCTCTTTAATGCATTCTATTGTAGTTTCCAGAGTTTTTGTGTGCTGGATTCAGTTCCCTTTTTTCCCATTTCTTCACCTGTAGCTATTTCTTGGTTCTCAACCAGCAGCAATTGAATATGGTGCACCATACCAGGAAGAATTAGCATCCAAATGAGTGGCCAGAAAAAAAGATCTCCCTCATCTCTTATGCTGTTAGGAGGAATTGAACCTCCAACCCCCTTAGGTGTTCAAAGGGATGGAAACATATGGGATGGAGGAAGCCACTGTACTGTGGCTACAACAGCTTTGGGACCAATTGGTTCCAATGACAAGTTAAAGACTTGGAACCAGATAATTCAAAAGAAAATGAGCGAGCAGAAAGCCCAAATTGAACCTCCAGCTCAGATGTGGGTGATACTGGATGGGAGCAGCCTCTGCAAATTTCTCTGTCTTTGATGCTGGGGTTTTGGTTTTGTGATTGTATTTTTGGGGGACAAGGGTGAAGGCACACAGATACAAAAATAAAACACTGTATGAAATTATGTACAAACAAACATGCAACTGGGAGGATTTGAACCTCCGACTCCTTTGGCAATTTTGACTCCTTGGTGATAAATGACAGAAGGTGGCCTCCATGGCCTACAGCAGCTTATTTCACTTACTTGGGACTGGATGAGGTTGAGTATTTGGTTAGACTCAAAGCCAGACATTTTTAAAAACAGTACCAACAGAGATGATGCTGCTGGGAGGAATTGAATCTCCAACTGCTTCACCATGTCAATGACTTGGAGTTGGCCCACAATAGCTTATCTTATCTATATGGGGACAGTATGAGGATGGAGTTGTGGGTAACAAGGCTGTAGGCACACAAAAATAAATTACCGGAGGATAGGCCATGCAGTTGGGATAAATTGCACCTCCAAACCCCTATGGTGAGCACTTCAGAATATACTAGATAAGGACAGTTTCAACAGCTACAGCAGCTTATTTTATTTACTTAGAGACCAGACGAGGTTAGACTTTTGGAAAAAGACAGTTTAGAAAAACAAAATGGATACTGTGGGAGGAATCAAACTCCAGCTTCCTTACAATGCGGCAACACAAGATAAAGGTGATGGTGGCCTATGACAGTGTATTTCTCTTCCTTTGAAGCTTGATGACCCAAGACAGGTCAGGCATCACTAATTAAACACAGCTTGTTCAGATTGACAGGAATTTTACCAGACTGTGAACAGTGGCTGCTTGTTGTAGTTTTTGAATAAATAATCTTTTCATTTTACATAGATCAGACCAATAAAACACTAACATCAACTGCTTTTGCAACTATCAATTTTATATCTATGATACCAGTTACGAACAAGGTCAAACTCAAACTGGAATGAGCTGGTGTTCGCCAACAAAGTCCACCTGCTCCTCATCTTCAATCATAGATACATTGTCTTCCCCAGAAGAAACATTGAGACTTGCCAGACAAGCCAGGTTCTCCCTGTATTGTTCCAGAGCATTATTGTCAACACTGCTAAGCCTTTCATCAATATGTTTGACCTCCTGCATTTGACATGACCTTTCAAATAAAGGCCTTGCTGTGTTCCAAAGTTCTACCGCCTTCAGCAGGTCACCATGTCCCTTAGAAATGTCACCCAGTCTACTCATACATTCAGCCCTGCCCTGATGGACATCCATATAGGTGAACCCTTCAAGTGCAACAGTAAATAGGGTGATGGCAGTGTCCTCATCCTTCTGATGAAGAAACACTTCCCCAAAAAATTGTAGGGCTTTATGAACTTCAAGCTTCTTCCTACACTTGAGAGAATGTACAAGAAATATAGTTGTCCAACTGGACATTGAATAACCAGTACCCCACTGGCTGACATTGCCCAACCGTTCAAGACAGAAAGATTTTATCTGATTGTCCAAACGGGCCGCGAAACACTTTTCCAGCAGTAGCTTTGCTGCATAGCAATTCTTCTCTCTGAGATAAAGGGTTGCAAGTACAGCTTCAGAACTTGTCACCCACATCTCAAGTTTGAGGTTTGTAAAGATTGATTGAGCAAGATTGATATTTCTCTGCACAATCTCTTTTTAATACCTGTCAACAACTCAATCTCTGCAATAGCGAGCAATGTACCAGCATGCCAATAGGGATCCTGGTCCATAGAGAAGGTCTGTAGTATCTGGTGATGAATGTTCCTAGCTTTACTATATTCTGATTTGTACTTGTAGATCTCAGCTTGAGTGTTCATGATGCCAAGGTTGCTCTCACTACCAGACATGCCACAGAGACCAAGAAGTTTCTGAGCCATGATGCACAATGAGAGACTTTCTCTATAGTGACCAAGTTCTTGCCAACATATGGCTTCCATCCGAGCTGCGGATGCAGCTCCATATAAGTCCCCAGCAAGTCTGGCTAACCCCTGGCTTTGCCTTGCATACAACCCAGCAGTCAAGTATTCTGCATGGCGAAAACCAAAGGATGCAAAGAGACGCAAGGCTTGGCTATGGTGCTTGATGTGACCAGTGCTAGTTGACAAGGATATAGCTCTTTGGCACATGTTGGTAGCCTCTACAAGATCAGGTTTAAATTCATAATAATACTGTGCTATGATCACATAAAAGGTGCCTGGCAACTTCATATAAGCTCAAACAAATAAGTGTTGAAATATGGAACGTACATTCAATCTCTGGATCATCAAAGTATTCCAAATGGTCCAACCCGCAAGATATTAGAGCCTCTGGGTCAGGGATTTGATAAAAAAACCATGATCCCACTATCTGAGTAATAACATAAACCTGAAGTCGATGATTACTGAGTTGTGGAAGGATATTGTGGAGTTGGCTTATCAAATGAGCAGGGGCTTGGCTTCTGACACGGCTCAATCGTGTCAACCAACATGCACAATTGATGCTATTCGAAAAGTCTGGATCACTCTGTTTCAGCCCCCATCCAAGAATGTTCTGGATATTGACAAAGTTTGATGCTATTCGAGGGACTGTGTTGGAACTCGACTGGGTTCTACGATCCTCCATGTAAAGTTCAAGCAAATCCTGGAAATATTTGAGCAGATTTCGAACAAGATGATCTGCAGGTGGCCAGTGCTTTTGGATATATTCCCTAATTGGCATCAATACTTTGAGTCGGTGACTTTCATCACTGTAAGCCAGAGCAGTGGACTTCAATACAGTTTTGCACTTCAAAATATCTTGAAGTGGTAGCTTGCTTTGAATTAGATCTACATCCAGAAGTCCATCAGGAAGCATTGACAAGAGGCACAAGAGCTCTTGTGATTGGGGGAGTGATTTCAGTCTAGGACTCGACAAGGATAGGGAGATAGATAGATCCAGATTGGATCTTTTGTCGAACCCATCTGAAACCAGTGAGGTCTTCTCCTTTTCCCATAGGAATAATATGTGGGAACAGCCTTCCAAGTCAGCTAAATGGGCAAGGAGATTGACTGCAAGTGGCATGTTGTCTGTCAGGGAGAGAACTTTATCAACCTCTTCTAGATCATGTACATTATCAGCAATATCACTGAATGTGAGTCGAGCAGCTTCTTGATCCAGGGGTTGCAAAGGTTTTAAAAATGGCCTGGTCCACTGGACTTTTGCTGGTCGTTCTGCCCCACACATGGTAATCTGATATGCTGTGAGTTGAAACTGTGATTTAAAATCTGTTTAACTTACCATTAGTGCAAGGTGATCCACACCTGTAAGCAGCGAGAGCAATTCTTCAATATCACTACGAAACTCTGCAGGCTCCCACAATGTTTCAAGCTCATCCAGAATCAGGAGACTGGGTGGGGTGCTAGAGAAATGCTGGATCACTGGTTGAGTGAGGTCTTTTCCGAGCTTCAATCCTAGATGGGCTCCAATAAGAGCCACAAGTTCAATTTTGGTTGTTGCAGAATTGCAAGCAACAAAGAACCTATTCTGATTATACACACCCATAATCTTTGGATGGTGCAGGAGAGCTCTGGCCAAGGAGCTCTTTCCCATACCACCTGCACCCAAAATGGCTATCCTCGGAGTTCCAGTATTGAACATTTGAAGAATGTCCAAAATTTCCGAGTTCCGGCCATGAAAGATCTTTGGCTCTGATGGCAGCATTGTGATGGAGTCCGAGCTTGAAAATATATGAATTTATCTCATAAGTACATTTGGGGTTGCAAATACCTCTTATAGGACTGAGAATAAGGTTTGCTTATCTGTTAAAAGGTTGGTGTGCATGGCTAGGGTATTAATTAAATGATTTACTGTAGATCCTCCATCTGAATCGGACAGTGTTGCAATCATATCAAGCACTTCTTGGTGTCTTTTCTGGGTGTCCCTCTGCATGTCCGCCATATCTGCCAAAACCATGGCTGTTTCACTCTGTTGCGGACATTGATCAGATACTGGGTGTTAGACCAAATAAGTATTGAACCTGGAAGAACTCCAGCCCGTGTTGCAATCCAGCCTTACACTCTTCCAGTAGTGTGCTGACTTCTCCCTGCCGGAAGAAGCTCTTCACTTTGTTGGTCTTCTGTTGGGTCTCGAAAAATGTATGGATTTTGTGCAGGGTCCTAATCCAGTGC